ACCCAGGTGTGTCAAGTTGACACGAAAGCTATCCAGCACAATTGACCCCTTGTCAACTTGACACACAAACACATCACTGTTAAACCATAACCTTTGCAGTTCTTGTCCCCAAGGTAGGATGTTAACATTAATATCACAACATAAGGCAGTACAACCTTAAAAGCCCCACAGTCCTTAAAAAATCCAAACACTTAAAAGTCCATAGTCTCTTTTAAAAGTCTCTTAACTGTGGGTGGGCTTCTGTAAAATCCAAAACAAGCACTGTCTTATTTCAAAGGGAAGAATTGGGCACACCTAAGCAAAACCAAAGTCCAGCAAAGTAGCTCAAGGCTGGACATCTGGGATTCACTCACTATCTTCTGGGCTCCAAAGGGTTCTGGCAGCTCCACTTCTCTGACTCTGCCATCCACAGCACACACAGCTCATCTCACAGACCCAGGCCAGCTCCATTCCACACCTTACTGCTGTCCTTGGTGGTTGTCCCATGGTCCCGACATCTCCAAAAAGCTGGGGTCTCCACTGAAACTGAGGCTACACTTTCACCAATGGCCTCTTCTTGCCTCTTGAGGTGCAAAGCCTCAGATTCTCTCCATGACCCCTTCAATCCTGGGGTCTTCACTGCAACTGAAGCTGCACTTTCACCTATGGCCTTGCTTGGCCTCTCAGAGTGCCAAGCCTCGGCTGCTCTCTGTGACCCCTTCACGCTTTCAACACCAGAACCATGCAGGAGACTCTTACACATTACCAAGTCCTGCTTCCAGCTTGAGAGAGAGGCTCGGGTCCCCTCTGTGTGCTGACCCTGAGGAAATACCTCCCAGAAGACTCCACCACAGTAATGCTGGTCTCTTGTTACTTACAGCTGATTTTTCAGCCCCAGCTAACCACCACCAATTGTCTCAGTAAAGCAAAGGTTTTGCTTCAGGTTCTGTCTCTTCTTCTTCACAGCTGATTCTTCAGCCCCAGCCAACCATAACCCACAGATTCTCAATTCAAAACATCACACGAACAACCCTGATAGTCTCTGCTTCCCTTTGATCCTTCACAAGCCAGGCTTCCATTATTCACAACTCTTTCAGAATAACTGTTCCAAGCTCCACAGCAACAAACTCTAAGCACTCAATGGCTTTTGTAGCCCAAAGTTCCAAACACTTCCACAATCCTAAAAACACCAAGGTCAGGTCTGTCACAGCAGTACCCCACTCTCGGTACTGATTTCTGTTCTAGTTTGTTTCTCCATTGCTGTGACAAAATACTCTGACCAATACCAACTTGGGGAGGAAAGGGTTTATTTGACTTACATCTTCCAGGTCACAATTCATCAGGGAGCCCAAGGTAGAAATTCAGGGCAGGAACCTGGAGGCAGGAGCTGAAGCATAGGTCATTGGAGGAATGCTGCTTACTGGCTTGCTCCCCTGGCCTGTGCTCAGTTTATTTTCTTACACATCACAGGACACCTGCCCAGGGGTGGCACCATCCACAGTGGACTGAGCCCTCCCACATCACTCAACAATCAAGAAAATACCCCACAAACATGGCCACAGCTAGTCCAATGAGACAGTTCCTCAATTGAGCCTCCCTCAACCCAAGTGTGTCAAGTTGACACTAAAGCGCTCCAGCACAACTGCCTACACTATCTCAGCAGAAATTCAAGACTACCATCTTGTGATGAACTTCAGTGTTTTTATTGAACGTAAAAAGCTTTCTGCTCTCTATAAAAACATAGGGGTTCGGTTATGGAAAACAAAAACTTTAGTATTTTCTTACCATCATTCCTCACATGTATCTTTAAAAATGATATTGTATTAGAATGTTAGGTTTTAAAATTTTGCTGTTAGAGTTAGTAGCTTAAATTTCATTTAAAAATCATCACATGAATTTTGGGTTGGGATTAGGCTAACATTTACATTTTGTAAAATGACTCAACATATTTCTGCCATTTTGTCCTACATATTTATGCAAAGTGTTATCAGTCCTGACAATTATAAAAGCAGTTGCTCATGTCTGAAAAACTTTGAAGATGCTATAAATCCTGCAATATCAAATGTTCAGCCATGATTAGTTATATAAAAATAAGAGAGCACATCTTTCTCATTAGATTGCAAATTTATATTCATATTTGATAAATGGTAAAACTATATGTCTGCCAAATTATTTAAAATTACTATTAAATGTTTGATTTGTTTACCTGTCTTAGTTAGCTATATAACTGATGTATAAAAAATTTGGGGGTGAAAAATTATGGGTGGATAAAGTTCAAGAAGCATAAACAGTGCCTATGATTTATTGAATTTAGTTTGAATGTGTTCTTTCCTCATTTTAAATTTCAAGCTCACAGAGGTAGCTCTATATTATTGTGTGTTTCCTACCTGCCTATTATCCAGTGCATATTAGGAGTGTGAGTAAAGTTCTATTATTGAAAGTAGGAATGTGGTTTTTAAAATGTAATTATTGGGGCTGGAGAAATGGCTCAGTGTTTATGAGCTCTAGGTGCTCTTGCAGATGACTTGGGTTCTGTTCCCGGCACCCACAGGCATCACATGAGTTGGGTGCAATGACATGGGTGCACTTACACACATGCAAGCAATAAACTCATACACACAAAATAAAAATAATAAATATTTTTAAAAAAACTTATTATATAATTTGTGTTATTTCTAGTCCTATGACATTGTAAATAATTCTGACAGGAATATTTCTGTAATAAAAGTTTTGACCTTTACTTACTATCAAATGAGATTCTGTGGTAAGACCATAAAATACCAGCCACTTCCTATAAAAATTGTGAATTGACTACTATTTTACCCATTTTACACATAGTTAATGTTCTGAGAAGTTGCCTAAACCCACATAATTAGTAAGTAATGGATCTGAGATTGGAATCTGGTGTTTCTCATCCATACCTGTGGTTCTTAAAATATTGGGATACATCAGGTTAATTTAGAGCTCTACTCCAAACTTTCAGATTCTAGACTTCAGAATTTGCATGTCTAACAAGTTTCTAGTTGATGCTGTTGGTGCCATATACTGGGGAACACAGTTTTGGAACTGCTGCTGTGATGTGTTTTTAAAGAATAAGCTATGTGCTTAAATTTAAGAATATGAAAAGCAATTTATTGAATTAAAACCAAGGAAAGTATTTTTCTTGGAATTTCATATTGTTAGATTGTTTAGAGTATAAGTGATAATAAGTAAGATAATAATCTTATATCTGACAAATATCACTTAAGAGCTTATGTAGGCAGACATATATCTCATTCTTATTTTTTCTCCTTTTCTATTTTCCTTTTTTGTTTATCTTGTTCTTAAATATCCCTGAAAGGAAAATAATTGCTTTTTAAAATTATGTTCCCAAGCCAATGGAAATGTTCCTATAAAAGCAAATAAATGGGCCAGGTGTGATCCTGCACGCCTTTAATCCCAGCACTCCTGGAGGCAAGTGGAGCTCTGTGAGTTCAAGGCCAGCTTGGTCTACATAGTGAGTTCTAGGCCAGCTGGGGCTACAGGGAGACTGTCCCAAAAAGACAAAAAAAAAAAAGTAAACTTTCACTGGGCTGCTGTGTGTAATGAAGCTTGTTTATTCTAATTTTGGACATACGTTGATATTGTTTTAGACATTCATAAGAATTATTGTTGTCTTATTTTATTCAGATTACAGAAGTTATTTAGGTTACAAGAGTTGCATTTTTCTAGTTAATTTTTTTAAAAAGTGAAATGAAATAGACATGTTGTTTCCAGAATATCAACTTAATTTTAAATTGAGAGAAATTTGGGTACTGAAATCTTAGTTATCTCCCTCTAATGCTTTGTATGTATAATTTGTTTTTTGAAATACTGACATATAAATTATAATTTTAGGTTTTTAAAATAAGTATATTTTCTCAATAGTTTCCCATTAGGTGATATTTGCAAAAAGAAATTTAGAAAGTTATAAGGTAGTAAATATTTAATTTTTTTTTTTTTTGAAGTCAGCAAGGGGGAACATTTTAAAAATCAAACTGAATGATGGTAATTACTAGACTTTTTTTATTGAGCTTTTTAAATTTCATACATTTCCCACTCAAATTTCTTGCATTTCCCCCCCTCCCCCATCTATGCCTTCCCCTATCCTCCCACTGAACCCTATGCACTCTCCCATACATGCTGAGTCCTATTCATTCAGGTGTTTATACCCAAGTGTTCTTCAGTGTAGACTTCAGTGCATCCACTGGAGTCTAGCCCATCCAGTGGTCGTATGTACGTCACACTCTATCTCCCTCAACCAGTAGCAATCAGTCTCAAATAGTTCTCTTTCTACTGCTGGCCTGCCACCTATTTTTCACCTCCCGTAATTACTAGACTCTTGGTGAATAGAACAGGTGGTGTTTCCTAGTGATGGGCTTCTATTTTATTTCATATTTCATTTATATTCACTGTAATATATACAAAACCTCTGTCAGAAGTATTTTTTGTTCAAATTTAAGCACAAATTACCCTAAATATCCAAGGTAGTAAAACATTTAATAGACTTCTCAAGGGTTAGATTCACCCCATTGTGTTATAGTTGAATCAGAGTCCAAAGAAATCAAACTTGCTCATTGGACCTTATCTAGGAATTAGTAGAGCTCAAGAACTTAAACTCCTATTTCCAAGTGTTACCTTTCCTTTAAAGGTTGCCAAATGGCCAAATTGCTTAATTTATGCTTCTGAATGTGATTGCATCCTAATTTTTCTTTCTTTTTTTTTTTTTTTTTTTTTTTTTTTTTTTTTTTTTTTGGTCTTTTTGAGACAGGGTCTACCTGTAGCCCCAGCTGTCCAGGAACTCACTATATAGACCAGGTTGGCCTTGAACTCACAGGGATCTGCCTTCCTCTGCCTCCCGCGTGCTGGGATTAAAGGCATGCGTCACCATGCCCGGCCTGCATCTTAATGTTTTTATAAACTAAAAATGTTCTTAATTTTTCCATAGGAGAACTATGGATTTGATAAAATTGAGGTTCGGGACAATGGCGAGGGCATCAAGGCTGTTGATGTGCCAGTGATGGCAGTGAAATACTACACTTCAAAAATAAGTAGTCATGAAGATCTTGAAAATCTGACAACCTACGGATTTCGTGGAGAAGCCCTAGGGTCAATTTGTAGTGTTGCAGAGGTAAGGACATTTATATCAACTCTTTCATTAATTTTATAATCATACAATATTAGAATTAAGAGAAAGTTAATCCAATATTTGGCAGAGTATGTTTTAAAATTAATATTTAAACTTTATGATAAAATATACTTAATATAAAATTTACCATTTTAACTATTTTTATCTGCACTTCAGTAGCATTAGATACATTCACATTGTTGTACATTTATCAACACTGTTCATTTTCAGATCATTTTCATCTTCCCAAATTGAAATCCAGTACCCGTTAAATAATAATCTCTTTTCCTTCCTCCTCTTCCTATCTCTAGTGACTATTATTTTACTTTCTGTCTTTATAAATTTACCTTTATAGGTACCTCATGTAAGTGGAAACATTTGGCCTTTGGTTTCTGGCTTAGCATAATGTCTTTGAGATTTGAGCATTTGCTTTATAATGCTTAGAAGAATTTCCTAAGCCAGGTGTGATGGCAGGCCTATAATCTAGGCCGGGGGGCTAAGGCAGAATCACAACAAGTTTAAGACAGCCTGGACTACATAGTGAAATACATCATTATGCGTACATACTACATTGCACTTACTATTTGTTTGCTAGTAGACACTTGGCTTGTCCCCACCTTTTGACTACTGTGAATGATGTTGCTGTGAATACAGGTGTATGAAGACCTGCTTAGGTTCTTGCCATCACAGATTTTGGGTTTATATCCACCAGCAGACTAACTCTGTCATATAATTCCTGTGTGTAATTTTTTGAGGAATAATAATGCATGTTTTGTGAGGTTATTATTCATTAGAAGAGTAGTTTATTGGACCATTTTAAAAATTCAGCTTTTGGGACTGGAGAGATGGCTCAATGGTTAAGAGTACTGACTGCTCTTACAGAGGACCCAGGTTTGATTCCCAGCACCCACATGTTGGTTAACACCCATCCATGACTCCAGTTCTAGGGTATACAATGCCCTCCTCTGACCTCCGTGGTCATTGCATGACTGGGTGCCTGGGTACACTTACATACATGCAGGCAATACACTCATGCACATAAATATAATACATTTGACCTCCCTCTGCTTCCCTGGGCCTACAGGACCCACCACAGGCCTATCTCGTATCCGCAGGCCTCTCTCCAGGATAAGTCCATTGCACCCTCTGAGCCTTGACTCCCCCAGCCTCATTCACCCTCCCATTTCCGCCACCTTCTCTCCTCCAAGTTTGGGCCCTGCCCCATTCTTTGTCTTGGGGCCCCAGACACCTGGGGGACCAATTCTGCTCCCTGATCCTTTTCATCCAGACCAACCCAGATCCTTCTCACAGTCCCCAGGAGCACTGCTTCTGGGCCTGGCCCCACCCTCAACTCCCTCTGCTTCCCCGGGCCTGCACCACCCACCAGCCTCTTTCTAGGACGATGGGGCTGACCTTCCTGATCCTTTGCATCCAGACCAGCCCAGCTCCTCAGTGCAGTCCCCAGAAGTCCTTGGGGCCTCTTCCTGCCCCATCTGCCTTTACATCTCTTGGTGGCACAGCCACCAGCTGCCCTAGACCAGCATCTTTCCTGGGCCTGGCTCCCAGGCCGGTCCAACCCCCAAATTCCTGAGGCCAAAATCGTTCCTGAAAGGATCCAGACCTTAGGAGAAAGCCTGAAAACATCTGACCCTCACCAGAATTGGGCCTCTGTAGGAACTCCTGAAGACAAAAGTAATCTGGCCACTCCAATATAAAATCAAAAGAGAGAACCAGAAGCTTAGATGAACCAGCTTTACATGCCCAAAAAGTAAACCACAAAGACACATAAAGTTCACAAAAAGAAGCAGACCTAAACTTGAAGGCCTGAGTCTCACACAAGAATCAGAAACTACAAAAGAAATTCACATGTCAAAATCACAGAAAAAAAATAATAACATGAAAAACCAAAATAACATATCCCCACCAAATACCAATAGTACTCTAGAGGAGTACAATGAGAATCCCCTAGAAATAATGCAGGGCATGGAACTCAAAAGAACAATGATGAATATGATAAAAGAATTCACTGAATTTAAAGAACACACAAACAAGGTAATCATAGAGCTGAAGGAAGATAGGGATAAACT